CGACAACACGAAAAGAAGCTGGCTCTTCACCGCTACATATGGCTGTGTTTAGTATTCTCGTAAAAATTTTATGGCCGTGTAAACTGACGTAAGGCAACACAAAAAACTTGATTAGATGCGGTGAAAATCTCTCTGAGCAATTCGACACCAAACGAATATTCAGACGCGGTGACTCTTTATGCTGTGTCTTCTTTAATTTATTGCGACCCGCAGAACTTAATAGGCAACGTGCAATCTTCTTCTATAAGAGTGTAGCCGAATTCCTATATTAATGACAACATGGACCTCAACAACTGCACCGTGAAATTTGCCTTCTTCGAACTGGATAAGGAAGCCCAGGGTATGGGACTGGTTGTGAACGAGGACAAGACGAAATAGATCCTGTCATCAAACAAACAGTCATTGTTTACAGTCATTACTTTTTGCTGGGTAGGTAATTGAAAAGTTAAATTCTCTCTCTACGAGCAAAGGCCAAACTTTACAAGTCGCTTATCGTTCCCGTCCTGTTATATGGTGCAGAAGCCCGGGCGATGACAATATCTGATGAGTAGACATTATGAACTGTTGTTAACTCGTCTGTAATCGCCTAAGTAGTTTCTACGCCAGTGGAAAAAAAGATTTATTTATTTATTTATTTATTTATTTATTTATTTATTTATTTATTTATTTATTTATTTATTTATATATTTAATTATTTCTTTATTCATTTATTCAATTATTTATTTTTTTATTTATTTATTCATTCATTTATTTATTTTTTTATTTATTAATTTATTTGTTTAATTATTTTTTTATTTTTTTAATTGTTTATTTATTTACTTATTTATTTATTTATTTCTTTATTTATTTATTTATTCATTATTTAGTTTATTTATTCATTTATTTATTTATTTATTTATATATTTATTTATCTATTTATTCATTTATTTATTTTTTTATTTATTTATATNATATAAACTAATATATTTACTTATTTATTTATTTATTTATTTATTTATTCATTTATTTACTTATTTAATTATTTATTTATTTATTTATTTATTAATTTATTTATTTGTTTATTTATTTATTTATTTATTTATTTATTTATTTATTTATTTATTTATTTATTTATTTATTTATTTATTTATTTATTTATTATTTTATTCATTTGTTTAATTATCTACAGTTCAGTACGCGTAAGCCGTTAAAAATTTTTATTGTTGCTGTATATAACCACAAACTTCCAAGTCCCTAACCGCACTTATTAATTAAACAAAAATGAGGTTTAACAATTTGTACCTGCCCACGCGCTGTTTGATTGGTTTACAAGTGTAAGCATTTGTCTTTTTACTTGCAACCATTTAATGTAAAATGTGCATACAAATATACATATGTACGTGTGTATGTGCACAAATACATAAGAATATACACAAACAAACAAAAGTATTTATGTTAAAAATACAAATATAAATGTAAGTATTGTACATATGTACACACGTATATGCATGGATATACATACATGTGAGTATTTGGGAAAAAGTTTTACCACATCCGCACGTTTTTACCGTCACGCATCGAATGCCTACGCTAAGCGCAATACAATTGCTCTCAGTGCGTGTCTACAATTTATGAGCTGCCTACTCACTTTCTTTAACAAATCCAAACTGAAAAGCCTAAATGAGTTGAAAAACTTTTTTTACGAGCCCGAGGCTATGTGAAAACTTCGCTTGCTCCAAGGCGTAATACAAAAGTTGTCTAACTGAAGAACACTGTGGCACAGCCGCATATACGCCCAGCCGTGCTTGGTAGGCCTTTGCAGCAGTTGAATTGTTCTTTTCTCCTTCTTTTTTTTTTAAGATTGTGCTTAACACACTTTACCTTTTTGCGTTTAAATGACTTTTATTCGATTACTTTTGCTTTTTTTTTTTTGGGCGCACAATTGTTTTGGTGCTGGTGGGGTGGGGTTACAAATGTCACTTTTACTTTTATTCCAAATGCGTACAAAGAAATTTGTAACAATCTGTTTTTATTTACACTTTTCTTATATATTTTTTTTTTTTGTTGGGTTTATGTTTTCTTTTTTTTTTTGTCTCTTTTTCACTTGAAATGTGTTCAATAAAGTCGTCATGTTGACAAGAGAGCTTAAAGTGTTCTTACATGCTTTGTCTCAAAGCACTAAAAGAAAGAAAGAAAGAAAGAAAGATGGCAAAATCTTCAAACTTTTTCTTAATTAATTTTTCTATTTTTTGGATATATTCTTAAATTTTCTTTTACTTTCTAAGTTTGATAAATCAGTGTCTGCAGATTTCCCATTCCCATATATTTGTATGTACGAGGTATGATCGGAAAATAGCCGTTATCGTGAAATTTCGTGAGTTACGAAGGTTCGATTTTCGCTTTTTTCAGTTATATTGGTGCACATAACTGTTATATATGTTGGCAATAGCAGCTATTTTGAATTTGCGTTTGTTTTTGACAGATAAAAAGGTAAATCGTGTTTGATGCTCAATTTTTCACTATACGAAAAAATGTATCACAGAAACTGTATTAAGTTTCGTGTAAAAAAATTTAATTAAATCCGCAAGAACATTTGAAATGTTAACTGTTGCGTTTGGCGCGTCTACTATGAGCAGCGCACAAGTTCAATTGTTGTATAACGGGTTTAAGGAAGGCCGAGAAGATGCCAATGACAATGCTCGTTCTGGTCGCCTGGTTCGGCCGAATGTGAAGGTTTCGCTCACTGTTTTCTTCGGCTGCATTGGCGGGGTGCATCATAAATTCCTGTCACATGGTCATACGGTCAATAAGGTATACTACTTAGAAGTGAAGCGCCGTTTGCGCGAAGCAATTCGTCAGAAAAGCACAGAATTGTGGAAAACGCAACCAAGAATTTTGCAACATGATAACGCACCAGCTCACACATCGAAGCTTGTGCATGAATTTTTGGCCAAAAAAAATCACCGCATTCATCCGACTTGGCTGCCGCTGACTTTTTCCTCTTCGCAAAACTGCGACACCGATAAAAGGAGCTTAGCGTTTTGCTATGATTGAGAAGATAAAAGAGGAATCGAAACAATAGCTATTGGCGATTCCAAAAAAAGGGTTTCAGAGGTGTTTCGAAGATTGAAAGAAATGCTGTCATAAGTGTATTATATCTGAGAGGGATTACTTTGAAAGGGACTAGAAAGTTGCTGATAAATAAATAAATACTTTTTGAAAAATTTAAAACTAACAATTATTTTCTGATCACACCTCGTATGTACATATGCAGTCCATGTAGAACTTTCACATTTTCTTAAGGGCAGAGAGAAACTACACCTGTGTGGTAGGGGTTCAAGAATTTTCCCGTGGTGAGATGTCTACAACCCAAAAGCTCCCGCGGCAGTCGTCTGTTTATACCAGAACCCCAAACTACTTTTCGGAATATTTTTGCAGTTAGGCTGTGAGCTACGAACGAGAAATTTGCTTAAGGCATTTCCACTTTTTACGAGGAGAATTTATTTGAGCGCTTTGGCTCTTCAAAATTCCTGGAACTCTCGTTGCCGTCAAACATCTAAGCATACAATAATTTTAACTATCGAATATTGACCAGTCACCCTTGTTGCCACGGAAATGTATTGAGCACTTTATCTCTTTAAAATTATTGAAGCGAGATTGATGCAAGCGGTTGAGCAAGGTAAGTTTACTTAGGAACTGGTGTGCATCAGTCGTTCTTGATAGCTGGACAACGGTTGAGGTAATATTCAATATTAATTAGCGCCCTTTTATTATAACGGTAATTATGCTAAGAGTACCACATCCGTTGGTATGATGTGCTATTGTATATGAGATATACGTTGACTTTGGCATAGTTCAAAGAATCATGAGGGATAAGAATACTGCAGCTTTGAAAGTTTTCGCTGCTGTACCCACCGCTGGAAGCACAGAAGGGTTGATGTCGGAATAATTCCGCGCCATCAGATCTCGGGCGTATGGAATTTGTCCAAATTTGTAATTTCTTCTTGAAAGAGACTGCTGTGGGGAAACACGTTTAGATCGCTTGATTGACCACCGTTGAGTGCATACCACAGTCTTGCCTATTATAAGCTTATCAGGTTTTTGTAAAGATTGATTTTTGGAAAATTTGTTTTAAAGAAAACGCGGAAATTGGTATAGTTCGACTCTTCCTGTAAACGTATGTAAGGTGAATGTGCTTTGCTATGCTAGAATTTCTGAAGGGTTATTTAAGTTTAGGATAATTGTATTTCCCCAGTCTCTTAATTCGGAGAATTATGCCGTAAAGGTCCTTCGATCGTCTGCAATCAATGTGTAGAGTTACATAACTCCCTCCCAAAACTTGTCTCTCGAAAGCTCCGAACCCTTACGCATCAGACGTTTCGGGACGGTCATGATAAGTGGCTTGAATATATCTTTTTTGTTCGTCAAGAGAGAACTTTACTATTCCATTGCTGGTACTAATGCTGGTTCCTAGTTAGACTTCAAAGTTATGACTGTCAACAGTGACATGGGAGCCAAGTCATAAATGCGAACTTCTTGCTGTTAGCATGAAGACATATTCCATGAGAGAAAGCAAAAATAACGACGTTGTGGTTGAGACCAATGTTACCATCACCATTGGCATGCGTAAGCCATCTATTAGCAATCCCTCTTTTCCCCCGGTATTGGGTTGAAGAAGCCACGCCATAAATAGTTCCCTTGTCTGAAACATCATTCGCTGAGGAAAAAGCTCGGAGAGACCTTAAACCTCATTGCGATTCTGGTATTATCCAGCGTCAGCTTGCACAGTCGCTTTACAATCGGTTAGGGTATAGACTGCATAGACTTATTATCTTCCCCTACATGTCTTTTTTAAGATTAATGAGCTCACCAGGTCCGGTTGCCATACTGATAGTGCCCAATCAGCAAATTTTACCGTGAGATTTCATGTGTGACTCTTTCACATATAGATTCGGCATGCTTTCGTTTGACCGTGATCTCATCATCGAGTGTAAACTTTTATTTGTTAAATTTGCTTTCAAATGTACATATATATGTTAATATGTATATGAATAACTCGATTTTTTATTTCTGATTTTTCGCTGCTAGTTTCTGGAGTAACGTCAAAAACGAAAATGCTTGAGTGACAACCTAAAAAGAATATATATATATATATATGTGCATATGTATGTATGTATATGCTCTACTTTCGCTTCACTCACCGATCGCAATCGCTCAATATCCATAGCATAGAATTTGCCCGCTGTTAAACGTACTGCACGCTTACTATTCGCCAACAAAATGAGAATATCCTGTCGTATGGGTATGGTGTGGGTCCACCACTGCTAACGCCAGAATGCCTCACCACAACGCACACTGTGACCGCGCAGCAGTTCACCGAAATAGGTGAACATAAGTAATTCGACAAGTGTCAAGGTCACATATTGAGCCAAATTCACAATACGCACCATTGAACGTTCGCCCTTAAGGAAGATAAAGATCAAAATATGAAATAAGATGAGCAATAATGCATTCAATAGTTATGGACATAAATATATGTACACATATATGTATGTATATTTATTCTAAATATTTTTTTGTATCAACTCAACAACTACTCACCGCGACGCCCACGAAAACCAACAAGCAAAGTTGCAAAGTAACTTGTATGGATTTAACGAGGCAATAAGGGTTAAAGAGCTCTTCCAACTCCTTGCACGCATCCAAGATGAAACGATGCAGCTGCACACATTGCACCACACCCAAGTGCAAGGCTTCGGGCAGAGTCAATGCTGGTTGTTGGGTGTACAAATGTTGGAGTATGGAGAGATTGGTTAAGTGTTCGCGGCAATACATATACTGGTTCAACTCGTCGTCTGGAGATTTTGGTAGAGCGGCTTGCTCTTTGCTGAATGGGGAGAGGTAATGGGAAAATATGTCATTAATTTAGCTGTAAATGACATAAATATATATATTATATATGTATTTTTAATTGGTGCTTTTTAACCGCTGAAACTATTCTCGGCCGAACTGCTTCTCCTCCAAAAGTTTATACCGACACCTCCGAACGGCTGTTTTTTTTTTTTTTTTTTTGAAGAGAATTACTTTCATATCATAAATACATTCAGAGGAGTTGACATTCCCTGCCAAGGGGCGACCGCAATTCCAAATTCAGCTTAAATTTGTATTTAAATTAATTTTCTATAACTTTCAATGTTGATCGTACCAGGATTTGAATCCTGATCTTCCGAATGCTAACCATATAAATACAAAGAAAGTCAAAAGCCAATATGCATGAGTATGAAAAGCTTGAGAAGCTGGTCATCAAGGGTAAGGCTCGAAAACTCTACAAAAAAATACGGAGGCTAACAAAAAGTTTCGAAACCGGTGCAGATTCTTGTATGACAGAGAGAGGTGATCTAACGATTGGCATCCACAGAGTATAATGAATTTATGAAGGGAATACTCTTCCAGCCTGCCTGCTGAATGGCGGTTAAAGTTTAACCTGCCACCCCTATCGATTAAGATGGAATAGATGCTTCATTTCCCGACTGTGAAGATGTTCCAATAGCATTAGCCGCTTGAAGATCAACAAAGCGTTGGGAACCGACCCATTCAAATACAGCGGCGAAGACCTGATAAGGCGCAGGCATGAACTTTTCTGCAAAATATGACCGTTGGAGCTTGACCGACGATTGGAAGCTAAATGTGCTCTGTCCAATCCATGAATCCACCCAAATAACCAGTACCCTGGATTAAGACGCCTCAATATCTCTTATAAGATCTTATCGAGAATATTGTATAAAAGGCTAAAGCCCACCCCGCCTACAAACTGATCGGACGTTACCTGTCAGGCTTTAACCATGCACAAAGCCTTGGAAAAGAGCCGTGAAAAGACGATCGATACACATCGCCTCTTCGTCGCTTTTAAAACAGCCTTGACAGCACGATAAGGAGCTTGGTCTATGCCGCTATTTCTGAATTTGGTATCCCCGCAAAACTTATACGACTGTGAAAACTGACGTTGAGTAGCACCAAACTTTCCGTCAGGATACGTAAGGAAAATTGTTTAACTCATGCCAAGGCGTGCGATACCAAACAAGGCTTCAGATTTCCTTAATTTACTGCTGGAAAAAATATTAGAAGCTGCAGAGCTTAGCAGAGAAGGTTCAATCTCCTAAAGGAGTGTACAACCGCTGGCTTACGCCGCTGATATTGACAGCATTGGCCTCAACAACCGCACTATGAGTTTTGCTTTCTTCAGGCCGGCTGAGGAAGGGTAACGAGCGCAAGACGAAATATCTACTGTCATCAAACAAACAGTCGTCACATTAACGACTTATCTTCCACATCACCTTGTAGTTGTAGCTAATTTCGTCCCTCTTGAAACCAGAATTAACAACAACTCCAGAGTCAGCGTTGAAATCCAACGCGGAATCACTCCTGTCCTCCAGCTCTGGAGGTAAAGTAAAGTGAAAAAAGATCTAACTGCACTTGATGTCTCCAATCGGTATCGATCTTCTAGCTGAACAAACGACAGAATAAATCTACCTTGAAAATTGTTTACCTCTCTACATGTAAGTATGCATAGTAAGCCAACCTTGCAACAACAACATACCGCAATATTTCCACTCCAGAACAGCAACGCAGACGCGCAGAATGACTCAAATTCTTCAAACTGCAATAGAGTACATCAAACTGCCCACACATTAAGATAACCAACGAGACGTATAAAGCAGAACCATTACCGAACGTGGCGCCCATTATTATTTGTGCTGACAATTGCATAACATACACCAACTCGTAGACATAAGGTTGCTGGAACCATGAAAAACGAACTATGAAAAATAAAGTAAATTTCTCGGAAAGATAACTTACCAACGGATCAAAGGGATACCACGCTTTCAGTGGCAGTGCACGTACACCCATCACCAACGGTGCCAAGCCATACAGCACCGTGCCCAATACACATGCAACTGTCCACACAATGGTCATCCGTTTCGCCAGCAAATAAGTACGTTGCCATGAGACGAAGCTCAAGCCAGGCAGCGAGTGATGCCAATATTGTTGATTGATAAGCTCTAAAAAAGCCATCAAACGACGCCATCTCAGCAACCAATAGCAAGCAGCATAAACGCTAAACCAAAATATAATGGTCATGGTGAGCGCATCGGTGATTTCCTCCAATTTGCCGCTGAGCAGCATAATATAAGAGGACTTCAGGAAAAGCACCGCCAATAGGAATGTCTGTGCAATGACAATGAAACAATAGATGTAGCCCAGCCGCCAGCGCCAATTGAATGGTATTTGTCCTGTGGCTTTGAAGGCAAGCACCTGAGCCATAAATAAATCACACACACGTGGTTTATCCTTCTCAGAATACAGTATAATTGAGCATGCACCCGCAGTGTTCTGCATTGTTGAAGAGTGAAGTGGAATTATTCGCTGTTCTTCTGTTCACTGTGGCATCTTTGCTTGGCGTGTCAAGACAAACTAAGTCTTTAACGGTTTCGGCGGAAACATTTATTTATATGTGCCCAATGAATTTTATTAAAAATGTTAATTTATAAAAAAAAAAAATTTTGCTTGGAGCTCATTATAGTCAGTTATAAATTATCTGTTCGCCGTCAAAAAAAAAACCAGTGACACTTGAGTTTGTGTCATTATGTGATGACCAGACAAAACTTGTAAATATTAAACTTTATGGCTACGCCTTTGAAAACTTTTCGTATTTTAATGAAGTAGTTAACCAGAGCCTTAATTAACTTCACACCTCGAGTGAATTATTTAGTAGCTCAATTGGTCTTTGACTCATTGTGCGTCGGCGTAGGCACCAAAGACTCAGTAGTCATACAAGTACGACTGTCATTCAATTGGGAGTGTCCAGTTACGAACCCACTCGCACTACTCGCGTGCTGCCAGGGGTAACTTTAACCCGCCTGTGTGACTGGGCTCTAGGTGCGGAATGCTAGAGGGATGGGATAGGACGTAATGAGGGTGGTGACACTGTCGGCACTGTCGGCACGATAAAACGTAAGCAAACAATAAATAAACAAAATGATACTTAGCGGTTGCTCGGTCGGGTGTGCGTCCCGACTTCGGTGCTCTCCGGTGGTGATCGCGCTAAACACCGATTCCGCCACTGGAATCCACAAAAGTAACCTATTTTGCTCTGGGCTTCGACTGCCCTTAAACAAGCCCCGACTGGCTTAAAACTTTCACTATTTGCCTCGTCTGGCACACTGCACCATAATATTTTTTTTTCTACTTTAAAAACGCGCAAAAAGAATGTTTCCGCTTTTGAAGACTGCGAGAATCCAATCTACGCGTCGACCTTCAAAATTCTCCTGCGAGTGTGTATTGGTGCCCAATCATTTGGCGCCGTCCCCATTACCCAAAGGGACCGGGTGGTATAGCGCACGGAACCAAGGCACACCAAGTACACTGGGATAATTTTTCCCCTCGCCGCAGTAAAGAAAAAGGCGACACCTCTTTTTACGGAATCCCCACTCAAAGCATTCCGTTACCCTAATATTTGTTAGTGGAGAAACAGTTTTGGGGAACACCTCCTTTTGGAGACTTATACCACTGGGGAGGCACACACCGAATGCATCAATTCATGGCTTCAAATAATGCAATTATTTGCCGACAGATGTCACTGCAAACGCTTGGAGTGAAAAGAAGCTTAGACAAAACAAAGGAAATGAACATACAAACATAAAAAAAGTTTTTGTTGCGGCCAGTACGCGACAACAGTAATCCGTTGGTGTTTTTTGAGATCCGCAGCAGTACACAGAGTTTTGCTTATTTTTTCTTCTCATATCGTGCGTACACTTAGAGCTTATTGTGTGGATAGATTCCTTTTCAAGTTGTACCAAACTGTGGTTTCTACAAGACTAGCTCTTGGTTAAGCAAAACAGTGCTCGCAAGGCGACCACACTTAGGCGGTTATTGACATTTTCGACAAATTCAAAACGATTTTTCTATCAGCTGGCAACTCTTTCAAAAATATCCAAACTACACAGCAATACTTTGCGAATTTCATTGAATTTATTCTAAAAATTTTAGCAAAATCGACTAAGTACTTTTGGAGTCGAAAGGCGGCATACATAAACAGGGCTGCATGCACACATACATACATCCTCTTTTATATAGATACATATATGAAGACGACTATTTATAGAATTAACCGAAAAACTATGCGCCCCGAAGCAGATGAAGAGAGAGAGCGAAATTTCTCTTAAGACGCCCGTTGGTGAACATTAATGTGCTGCAATTGTTGTTTGTGGGCATGTATATATGGTTTGTGAAATGTATGTAACATACTTATGAATGCACGTGCATATGTGTAAAAAGTGTTGCTTGTACATTTGCACTTCCGGGTGAAAGCAGGAAGTTGTGGAAAATTCAATTATACGCATCGTTTGACCGTGAAATACATATGAACCCTTAACACCCATGGACATTGGTGTTTACCATTACTACAATAATATTAACGCACACAGCTTCATCTATTCTTTGCGTGCAGTTGAAAAACCCATAAACTATGCCTTTCATCTGCACCGTTACAGACAACATTGTGTTGTTATATATGTATGCATGTATGTTTGTGGGAACATGACCTTGAAAACTCATTTTAGTGACTTATGTACGTACATACACGTATGTGCTTTTCTGTATACAAATGCATATACGGAAATCTAGCGTATATTTCTCTCGCCTTAAAGCATGTAAGTGTAGATCGCTAAAAAAAATAATTTTTTGTTAAATAATTTAAATTATGAAAAAAGCTACAGATTATTCTATGAACTTTTGCAAGGTTTATAGATATCTCGATAGATGGCGCAGCGGTAGAAATTTTACTAAAAATTATATTTTCCTGGGTTCTAATGATATTTGATCGTCATTTGCTTACGCATCGATTTGGATTTCTAACTCATGGCTCCCTCGCTCATGGTATATTCCATTGTCAATGTTCAAAGAGGCGTAAATCTTCAGTAAGTCCTTTAACTCGAAAGCTCCTAGTGTCGACCAATGTCGATATCTTTTACGCTTCTTCCAGCATTGAAATGATAAACGGCTTGCAATTTCGTACTCAATCCACAGTGGCACCTCTTGGTTTAACAATTTCTATTGTGAATTTCAAGATTAATTAGTGATGATCCATAGATAGATGAAGGTATATACGACGTCAAAGTAAAGACTGTTAACAGTGACGTGGGAATCAAACTGTTTATTTTATGGCAGAACATATTCGTCTGATCCCCCTAACCAATCAGGAGAAAGCGAAGCTTATGGCGTTGAAGAAATGACACGATTGAGGCACTCTCTCTGAAATCTTTTTTTAAGCCGAAATGATGGGAGGGACGCTACAAAATTCTGACTATATTTCGGCTCACACGGCCTTGCAGGGACATCAAAGTCAGATATCAGCAGCATAAAGGGAGTTATTTTTCTTGCTTGACAGCTGTTTGTAGACTCTGGACATTATCAATGGGATACTATTTCTTACCTTAGATGTGGTAAGGCAACCGGCGCAGACCATGAGGTCTCCCATCTTGTGAATTTGAACTGTGCACACTTACGTAGCAAGCGGAATAGAACTAACAACGTGCAAACATCACTATCTTTGGTCCTACAAAAATATTTGTCGTCTGCCATTCAGCGGGATGTCGGTAACTAGGTTACCTACTTGGTTCTCAACTGAATATGCTCTGGTCTTGAAACCGTCTAAAAGTCGGCGCATATTTTCAAAGCATTACCCCTGTTGGCCAACCCATCACAGTCACTCATTTTGGGCTTTTTCTTTCTTTTTTTCCTACACATTTGTCTTGCTTCCCTCTTTCGATCTCGGTATCTACTTGTAGGAGTCAGTCTGCTTTCTCTCCATTTCAAAGCATTACCCCTGTTGGCCAACCCATCACGGTCACCCATTTTGGTCTTTTTTTTTTGCCTACACATTTGTCTTGCTCCCCTCTTTCGATATCGGTATCTACTTGCTGTAGTCAGTCTGCTTTCTCTCCACTTTAGTTCGACATTCCTCATCGTACCAGCTTCTTTTCCGACATTGTTCGAAACCAATTTTTTCTCGACGTACAGTTTGAAATAACGTCGCACAGCACTCTCATACCGAGTTGCTGATAAGTGCTCTCAGAGTGCCATAGTCCAAGTCGAGTAGAAACCTGGTTGACCGCCTGGTGTGCACACCGGATTTTTATTTTGTTAATGCCAAACAGATACTTCGCGGTGAGACTAACTGAAATATTTTCGAAAAGTTCGAAATCAGCGAGAAGCGAAATTTTTTATTCTCTGGATTTATCCGGCACATCTCCATACATAAATATTAACTTATGCTGCTAACTTCATAATTAAAGAGGATGAGCAAATAGTACAATATAACGGCACCTATCAGCAGCAATTATCCTAAATCTTTTAATTTTACTTATTTTTTGCTATTAATTTTTTGTGCCTTTTTTATGCATTGGTCACAAGTCAAATGTCGTGAAAATTATTTTCGCTGATTGAACTTAATTGGATTTTTCATTTAATAGCATGAAAACACGATTTGAGCATTTCGGATATATAAATTGTTTATTAACTGAATTTTTAATGTAAACAATTTGTTTATAACACTACATAGTTACACATTCTCTAGCTTTTATTTATGTATGTCCTAACCTTGACGCAACCGCTGCCACACACCTCTGTACAAAATAATATCTACACAAAAGCACAAAACTAGAAAAGTGCAATACAAAAACATTTTACCACGAAAGCCCATTAAAATAACTTTACTGTCAAACTTTGTCAACAATCACATGGTTTTGCCAGCACACATACATACATATGCACATGCTAAGTACAATACTTCAACGAGTGAGCAGGACAACCAACAAGCAAAACAGTGCCGAGGCAAAAAGTTTTCTTAAAGTATGGGTGGGTTCTGACCAAACCAATAACCGAAATTATGGAAAAACAGTAACTAAATACGAAATAAAGACTTCTCATAAAAGTCAAGTGAGTCGGTTTAGACCAAACTGTAGGTCCCTCTATTTAGTTGGGAAAACATGAAGACGCTCAGGAGCTCGGCTGAAAATTGTTTCAGCAAGTTTAAAAGGCAACCATAAACTTCTAACCTCAAACTTCTTCTTCTTCTTTAAGTCAACCTCAAACTAGAGGAATGAAAAAAGAAAGAAGCTTTATATTCTTTTATTTTCGTCGACCTATAATATTTTGACGAATTATTTTCCTCCAAACACTTTTGAAGTATATTACAATAATATCATCGCGGTAGATATGACGACTAAATTGGGCAACTGTAGTCCAACAGCGTTTCCTCATTTCTTGATCATATACTACATGCACTCTACCGATTCTACCTAACCTAAATTCTTAAATCAAATATAGATCCTCACCAA